TTCCCCCTCCCATTTTTTTTTCTTTTTTTTTTTTTTGCATTGAGTTTAAAGCTGAACCACATGTGAGAACTTGCTTTAAATAAATGGGTCTCCCTTACCCCCAAGGCAAAGGCTTTGGTGTGGCTACAGTTTATACAATTAAGCTCATCCCGTGCCAGGAATCCCGAGCTGCTCCCTTGCATCAAGGACGCCTGTAGCACTTTGGTAATGGATTTTCCAGGATGCACCTAGATATCCTCGCTAAGATATTGTGGGAAATCTTTGCTGTTTCCTTGTCCAAACAGATAAAAATAGTAGATGATTCCTTAAAAGAACTGGAATCACCACAGGCAGTCTTGAAACAGAGTGAAAGGGGAAGCTGTAGGGGACATCAGGTAAGAATTTAGTGGGTGCTTGGTAAGACAGCGAGACTGTGGTGGGGAAAAAAAGCATGGGTGTTTCATATATAACAGAGAAAATTAATCTCCAAGAATTCTGCTGTTTGCACCTCTTCTGCTATGCTGCTGACTTCAGCCCCTGTCCTGCAGCCAGGCAGAAGCAAGAGCTTGCAGCGTGCCCACCAGCATGCCAGCTGCCTTGCAGAGGTCAACTGGTTCCCACCTACGTGCTCACACACCCTCCTAAGCCCCATTCGTTGCAAAAGTCTCCAGCAAAGGAGGAATGACCATGTGCCACCCAGCAGGGACACGGTGGGGACATCAATCACGGTACCAAGCGGCATCCAAAGCTTTGTGCCTCTTACCGTTCCCAGAAGGCACTGAGACTCCTGAATAGCACCGTAGCATCCCAGGAACCCCACAAACATCATGACGGCTCCAACCGCAATCAGGATGTAGATTCCTGCAGGGGAGAGCAAAAGGCAAACATGTTACTGCAGAGCTTTGTATGGCAGCACCCCATAGAATCATAAAATCACCTAGGTTGGAAGGGACTTTTCAGATCATTAAGTCCAACCATCAACTTAACACAGACAAAAAACATCACTAAACCATGTCGCTAAGCACCATGTCTAACTGTCTTAAATACCTCCAGGGATGGCGACTCCACCACTTCCCTGCGCAGCCCATTCCAATGTTTATAACCCTTTCGGTAAAGACATTTTTCCTAATATTCAGTCTAAACCTCCCCAGCACAACTTGAGACCATTTCCTCTTGTCCATGCTGGCTCCCCAGGGTGGCTAATTAGGGATGTTCACAACTAAGCCCCAAGCAGAGGTGGCAGCAGACAGTGTAGAACACCACAACATACAAGAGTCAAATCTCACAGTGTTTGAAGCTGCTGACGCTGGAACTTAAGAACCCCATCATCCTGAAAATCAGAGGAAATGCAGAGCTGAGCAGTAACAGGCAGAAGATGCAGCGGGTAAGAGAAAGGCTTTACAGCATCCTCAAAGCTGCAGGGTGGGAGTTCCCATGGCATACATACTGTTTTAAATATTTAAGCAGAATAGATGAAAATTATTAGCTAGCATATCTTTTTAAAATAAACTATAAGGCATATGGTTTATTTATATCAAACGTCATATAAATATTTATCTGGTTAATGTTTTAGACAAGCCACAAAAATGAGGGAAAAGCACTGCTTAAGCATCTAATTTAATATAATCTGGCTTTTGCTTGTTATAGGTTCTTCTACAGACAGGAAGACTTTTTTTTACTTCAACTTATTAAATCTGCACAGTCAACTTGCTCCTTAACTAGTACAAAGCTCACGAATTAGGCACTGGGGGTGGGGTGGGTGGGTGTCAGGAAACTGAGGAATGAAAGTTTATTCATCCAGGAAATAAGAGCTTAGCTCAAGGCTCATGCCCGCTGGCACTAGTAATCACCACTGTCTTGCCAACCATGAGATCGGTGAGACCATGGTGATTACCGAGCCAAACGCTACCAGCTCAGTTAAATTTGTTTCTTTTTCCACAAAACACAGCTTTCTTCTGATGTATCCCATATATTTAGTGCATTTTTGGTTAACTAATATTCTCAAGTATTGTGTTTCTACTGTTTGTAAGTGAATCCTACTTTCCATCCAAAAGCAATTTGACACATGCAAAAAATAATCAAAGAAATAATTACAAATGAGGCAAGAGTGCAGTCACCATTTTTAACTGACAGTGAGGAAAAAGAAAAAAAAAATCAGGTTGAGAATAAACGTACAGGGAGCATCCCAGAGGTAACAGTGATACAGTATATCTTGCTAGTGCTTGGGAAACATGTCCCTTCAATTAATTTCGATTCTTTTGCTACAAGTCGGAATGTTTTTAAAGTTATTAATCAGTCTGTCAATGCCCCTTCAGGAACAGCACTAAAGTATAAGCAGAGTTGAAGATGAAAAATGCTTGTACATGCCTGTCATGTTTAAGGTTTTACTTATCTGTGTAGCTTTTAAACAATCTTCTGATAATTAAAGTGCAAAGTCTAAAGGGCATGCACTGAGAGCGGAGCTAAGCCAAGCTAAGCCCTTCTCTGGAAAACCCAGATACACACTTGTTTAAAATCCCCTGACGGACACATCAAACTCGGGAAAGGGTCAACTTTGGCTCCCGCTTCTTCCCTCTTTCCAACAAGAGTCGCCGGCGCCCAAACAACGCGGGTGCCGACGCGAGGGCCAAGGTGGCAAGAGGCGGTGACGGAAACACGGCCCCGGCAGCCCCGGTGCCGGGACCCTCCGGCCGGGGTTCTGCACAGCCCCGCGCTCACACAATGCCTCCCGCTATATTTAGGCGCCGCAGGAGGGAGGAAGCCAGCTGCAAGGGAAGCGCCGGCACAATGGAGCGCGCTGACCCCACAGGAAGCCCCTCTTCACAAAACCTGACGGGCTCCGCGGACAGTGACACCAACATCCTCACGGCAGCACTGCCAGCAGGAGGAGGAGGAGGAAGAAAGCACCTCCTGATGGGTGTCATAGAATAGTTTGGGTTGGAAGGGACTTCAAGGATCATCTAGTTCCAATCACCCTGCCATGGGCAGGGACACCTTCCACTAGAGCAGGTTGCTCAAAGCCCCATCCAGCCTGGTCCTGAACACTTCCAGGGATGGGGCATCCATAACTTCTCTGGTATTAAAGGGGCTTCAGCAGTGCCCTGTGGCCACAAAATCCCACCAGGCCGTTGGGTTGTTGAAGCTCCCTAAGATGGGGTGGTTCACCTCCTCCTGGCTTGAAGCTGCAAAGAGAGGGGAAAAACAAGCACAAGAGTTTCTTGGAAGGCACAGGCCAGCAGTTAAAAGTTTCGTGAGCTTGCCCGAAATAGAATTAGGTGATTTTATCCCGGTGATTGGAGATGACGTGAGGTGGAGGGACCGGCAGTGGTAGCTGGGCAGAGCGCCAGCGAGGCGAGCCGCAGCTTGGGGTGTGAGTGGGAAGGAGGGGCCCCAAAGGGGCTAGAGGTGATGGGAAGGCAGGAATGCATCCTGTAAAATGAAGGCTGTCTGCTGAATGCCTGCCAAATTCCAGACAGACTGATGGAGATTTTCGGACGCTACATAACTACTGTTCCAAGGAGAGCAACGTATCAGTAGTAGTCTCTCAAAAAAAGGTCTGCTTATGGTCACCAGAATCTGCTAATACCAAAGAACCAGGCTTCACCACTCCAGCTCGCACCAGTAATGCTGCTGGTTTAGGTTTGCAACCCAAACTATGTCAGGTTTTTCCATCTTACACCCTTGGGTGGCTCCGCTGGAGAATCTTGATCACAAGTCCCTGTGGGAAAATCAACTTTGCTCATCCCCGAGTGCAGCAGCTTCTGACTTGTCCTCACATTAGGTCAGCAGAGAGAAGACAAAACTGTGATGGCAGCAAGTCATTTTAACGTTGGAGAAGTCACCATTCAGGCTAATCATGCCAGTAGATGGGCAAGAAGCAGATGCAGCACATCTGGAGACCAAGCAGCATGATGCTGTAGGGACCTCAGAGACCAGGTCACTCCCACAGATGAAGATTTTATTCTCAAATTCTTCAAAATAAACAATGAAGGCAACTTCCAGGCTGAATAAATGTAGCCAGGAGATCACAGAATCATATAGCAGCCCAGGCTGGAAGGGACCTCAAAAGATCATCTGGTTCAACCTTTTGGGGGAATGTGAGCCTAGATGAGCCTATCTAGCACCTTTGAAAACCTCCAGCGATGGGGACTCTACCACGGCCCTGGGGAGGCTGTTCCAGTGAATGATTGTTCTCACCGTAAAAAAAAAAAAAAAAAAAGTCTGTCTGACATTGAGATCATCAGGAAAACATAAGGGCCACTGGCAGCTAGGAAAGTTTTGTTCTGAAAACTAGGAGATAAAAAGCCCAGCAAGAACCTCAGCTGATGGAGGAGACTAACAGGGAACAGAGACATTTGCTATTTTTATAGAAATATTCCACAGGCTTCTGTACTTGCTTCTTGCTGGGATTTGTGCAGCTTAAAAAAAAAAAAAAGCCAAACCCAAACTGGACCTGCTGAACACCCACCCCAGGCAGGCTGTGCAGACCTTGGACAGGCAAGCAAGGTCCTGGCTTTCCGTTTCTTTCCCTGCTCATTCTTTGCCAACTCCTCGTCAGAGCCAGCACCGCTGTCAGGCAAGCAACACAAGAAGGAAAGGAGGGAAGGGATGAAGACATGCACCACGTGTGGCTTCCTGACCAGAGCCCAGCGGGTGAGACCGGTGGGGTGGGAGCAGCAGAAACACACAACCAGGCAGGAGAGAGGGTGGTGATGATTGGCCTAAACTCTGAAAATGATAAAAAAAAAACCCTGGAAGGCTTTTGGGACAAAGGCCAGCTTCATTCCCAGGCACAAACCAGTGTCCGTTATGGAGTCACCTTTTGTTACTGAGGGCCAGAGCTCTACAACCTCCTGGGAGGCAACGGAGCGGGACTCTGCTCCGGAGTTAATTTAAAAACAAGCACAAAACACTTAATGCAACAATAGCGTCTTGTATAATGAATGTTAGCCGTGTTTCTCCACGGAAATGCCACACTGAAGGCTGCAAAAGAAAACGAAGGCAACCGAAGTGCCCAACCACACGCTCTGAATGGTGTTTGTTTTCCCACACCCATCCTTCCCCTCAAGGGATGGGGCCAGTGGAGGGGGAATTCTGTCTCCAGACTGGGTGCCAGGCAGCTGGGGGGCTATTTCATGGCAATCTTAGCTCAGACGGGAATGACCAAGCCCTTTCCCAGAAAACAGCCTGACACATCTTAGCTTTCATTCCTGGCAATCGGCAAGGATGGTTTTGGGCTCCACGTCTGTGAGCAAGGCACCTGTCATCCCCATCCTGAATGACACATTATCCGCCGAAAAGTCAGAGGAGATTCCCCCAGCACAAGCCTCCTCACTATGCAAGCATCCAAGACGGGATTAACTCCTGCTGTCTGACTGTCCTGAGTGAGAAACTCTTCATCAATGCTCGCTCCCCCAGTGCTCCACCCGAACTGGCACAATTCTGCATGAGCAAGGCTCCATTTGCCTTTCACATGCCACTTCCCAGCTCATTTGTCTTGCAGCTTTCTCAGGGGTTTTAAAACAAGAATTGCTGTTTGCCATAAACAAAAAATAAAATCTGAGGGGTATGAAATGCAAACTGCAGTGCCTGCAGTCATGCTGCTCCATCCAACGGCAGCAGGAGACAACCCTGGGAACCACCAGAGCTGCAGCAACAGGTACAGTGAACAAATAGTTTGTAGGAGTTTACAGTACCAACATACCTCCACAGCCTTGAGCAACGTTACAGTGTGATTTTTAACCCTGTGGCACAGTTCTCTGGTAAGGCAGCAGTGTGACTGCTAAAGCTGCCACATGCAACCAGCCACTCACGAAAGCAAGCCATGAGCTGCAGGACCAGCATCCTGGAGTTGGGGAAGT